CTCTCTCTCTCTCTCTCTCTCTCTCTCTCTCTCTCTCTCTCTCTCTCTCTCTCTCTCTCTCTCTCTGTACACACGGAACGCAACGATCGGCGTGCCGCGTGATAACCGAATCGCATACGGATCATTAAAGCGATTAGGCCGGCTGTTGCGGAGGCGGCGATTGCCATTTGTCGTTGCCGCGTGCAGAGAATCCACGCGTTTTCGCGCGGCACTGACTCCAAGATGGATTCGCGCGCCAGTTAGGGCCGAAGCCGGGCCGGGCCGAGCCGGGCCGTGCCGTGCCGTGCCGTGCCGTGCCGCGCGCGCGTATCGGATTAATTACCGTCATTCGATCAAGAATGACATCGCGGCGCATTGGTAATGCGGCATTACAAATGACACGCACGGCCGCGATATATACCGGGCTATAAATTACGCGTCGCGGCGCGCACCTACAAACGCGGCCGTGCGGCCGGCGGAAATGCGTGCGCCCCGCCGCCACAGTGAGACTGATGTTTTTATTATTGTTAACGTTGCGACGTGATTTAACGAATTATCGTCGAGGCTCGGCCGGTGGGGAGTCGCCGGGTTTGAAAATGCCGCGATTATTCGGTATCGCGACACTCCGCGACGACCTCGCGGATAATTCAATTTATCGATACTGGATGATCCGTTTGAAACGTGCGCGCGCGCTCTATCTCGTATCCCGCGTGTACGACTATTGTTAGCTGTCTGAAGTGCCTTTAACGTAAAGTTATAGCCGCGCTTATACACGGCGGTATATAGAGTGTTCTCCGGAAATTTACACTGCTTGACAAGATGACGCAATATTGATATATGATAAAGAACAGCGAATGCGGAATATCACTCGCGGGTCAGCCGGGGTCGTATATTTACTCGATGGCAATACGAGTGCGGGATAATTATTAGCGCAGACGGACTTACTATAATAATGTCAAGGTTGTTGGTGAGGTGGTCCGGTAGAACGCGCTTGCTCACTTCCTCTTCCGGCATGCCGTCGAACCTGTCGTGCTTCTTCCTCTCCTTGTACGTCTTTGCGCGTTTCTTGGCCTCCGCGAGCTCCGCTCTGAAAGAGGAGGAAAAAAAAAGAGTGAGTACAGAGGGCCTTAATAATACGCCGGATTCCTTTATGCTGCGTCATACGATTCAGCGAAAGGCGCGCGCGACTATTTCTCTCCGATCGGCAGAAGACGGCGCGGACTTTCCGCGTTTGCTTTTTGTTAAGCCGGCGAACTCGCGCGCGCGCGCGCGCGCGTCTCGGACACTCCGCGCGTTTCGATTTGTGACACTGTAACACAATGTAACGTTTTGTATCGACCGGGGACTTGTAAGCCGTCGTGAATACGCGCGAATAATACACGGATGAATAAGCTCGGATCTCGCGAGATAAAATGACGACGGCGAAATGCAATTTATGGTCCTTACGTTTTTAACGGGGACGCACTCGGCTAATAAAACGTCGTGAAAACCATTTTTTTCGATATGCTTTATACAAGTATATTAATAAATGCGAATATATATATATTTTTTTTAACAGAGTGGAAAAGCACTGTAAATAAGAAAATTTGCGAATTCGCGTGGTTTTGCAGCGGAACGTAGATCGACCACGTTAATTAATATACCTGTGGCCGCTCTTCCTCTCAAGATTTATGCAACGGTAGTGCGCAACTTGGTGAAAAAAAAATGCTGATAGGGGACGAAGCGGGATATTTATACGCGGCATAATGGGCCTTTGTTTAACTGCTACGGGATATTCAATTAAATAGACATGTACAGCGTGTCAAGAGGGCATGAATAATTCTCTCTTAAGATCTTCAATTAACGTCTTAATGAGCGCGTTATCTCCTGATGTATCTCCGTAATAGCGGCGCGCATCTGATCGTGTTACGTTCCTAATATGCGGAACTATTTTTAAGTTTTCGGCCGGCTTCACAAAAATAAGCGCAACTGAAGATCCTATCGGATCAGCAACATGGTGCCCGGTCAGACGGACATTGTTAGCGGAGCGGATATTTTTAACCGTGGCTGTGCATGCAAATATATAACTAACTCTGGTTATATCGAGTCGTGGCTTCGTGGCCGGCCCGTGTTCCTTCTCGGCTACGCTTCTCTCCGGACTCATTAACGTATTTATTTATTAATTACGGTAATAATTATCCCTATACCGTTTGTAATCCCGCTTGTAATTCTGGATTCAATTCTGCGAAGGTGTAAAATGTTATTTAATATTAATTTTAGCTCGACCTCAGGGCGGCCCCGGCGCTGGTGCAGAGCCACGCGCGAGAGCACGATTTCGCGATGCCCGTCCTTAAAGGCTCGAGGCCGTAAATGAATTTTGACGCCGCGCCGTCAGCCTCACACGCCCGTGAACGGGCTTTTATAAGATTGAATTAATTTTTTCTTTAAAGCAGCGGGTCTTACAGCGAACACGACAGCGGCCCGTCTTGTGCCCCTCGTGTATGAAAAATTTGCCACGATTACGCGGGCATGTAATTCAATTATATACATATATAACAAAGAACATCGCGCGGTGATTTTCGCCGGAAATCGCGAGATGCAATAATCGCGCGATCGATTATAAATGCTAGGACTCTTACTCCTCGGGGGTGAGGATCATCTCCGACTTTTTTTTGCGGCCCCGCTTCTTCGGCTGATGCGCCAGCTGTGGATTGACGCTGGCGGCGCCGTTTATCACGAGATTCATCTGATGATGTTGTGGCCCGGGCAGCGCCCCGGGCGGCGTCGACGTGGGTGTACCCAGCCCAGGTTGGGCGCCGCCCGGACACGTCATGCTCTCGGGATTGCCGCCGCCGCCGCCGCCGCCGCCGCCGCCGCCGCCGCCTGGACTGCTCGCCGTCCTCATGCCGCCCATCGACATCTCCTCGTCGACGAACGAATACGGGTCCACCGGCGTCTCGCATTTTATCGCGACCTGGAAAAGAGCGTCAGCAGACGTTTGGCGGATAGGTCGCACTTATCATATTCGGCGCCGTCCTGTCCGCCGGAATAATGCAGGGTGGGGGGAGAGGATTTTCGGGACTTTCGCATCGAAATGGCGCTGCGGAAGTGCCGAGGACCAAGGAGGACGGAGGGGAAGAGCGGAGAAAGTGTTTGGACGTTTCTCCGCTTCTCCGTCCGAAATCAAATTTTGCGGCGCGCCTCGGTTCGGAATAAAAATTTCCGCGCAACGTAGCCCATGATAAGGGAGGGAAAAAAACGAAAAAAGGCCTCAAGTATTTCACAATAAATTCCGACGCGATGTTTCGTTATTGTATGATATTAGGGGTGGACCGTATTTACTGACCGAATTCCTCGGGTTTCCCTGAATAATACATACGGCCGATGGGAAGGAAAATGTGGTAGCGCGCCGCGTCGCGGCGAATTATCCCCGTGATATCCCGAATCGCGATGACGGCTGATGTCCTAGCCTAATTTAATTCCACCTCGAAATTACACCGCGAAAATTTTTCGTCGCGTCCGCAAGTTTCGCGGGCGGCCGGCTGCGGAAAAATGAAATTTTTCCTGAGCACGTACAATCCCGACGTAAAACATGTACCGGCGATCACGGACACGTACAGTGGCGATCATAAAACGTATGTATTCCAGCCGGCGCTATATGTATGTATATATATATATATCTCCCTCTTTCTCTCGATGCCCTTGGGGAAATAGTAATAGCGCAATTGCCGCATGGACCGAAAATACGCGGCCACGTACAACGTATCAGCCATTCGCGGTTGTAAAATGTGCAGCTGTGTCTCTTTTTTTGCAAATTGCGCGTGTTACGGACTGACGCGATCACCGTTCTTCTCCCGTTGCACTTTTTTGTACCGTCTGCTTTTTGCATTAGCTAAAATCAACTGAGGTTTCAGTGATTTTCCGCCCCTTTTTGAATATGAAATTAGAAAGAAATAAGAGAAGGATTCCGCCGGCCGCATAAACCGATTGCCACTTTTGACGAGCGACAAGCTCCAGGAGAATAGAATATCTGACAGGACGTGAAACGCACGCCCGGTGATATATAGGGGATGAAATTATTTGGCGGGCTCCTTGCGTCGATAGACTTTTGTCGCGGCGATATTAAAGAGGTGGTATTAGATGATTAACGCGACAGGTATCCAAGTGACGTTTTGTCCCCCGACTCTTCTCGACGTTCGCGCAAAAATCCGATATCGCGGACTAAAATAAATGCCTGAAACGTTATCCCGCCCGATGAGATCAGAAATTATTCAACAGGCCGTTATTGTATTCTGAAAGCTGTCAATAATGCGATAATTTACCGATATTTGCATGTTCAGCACTCTTAATTTTAAATGATCTCACTGTCGTTGGTTCATTTCAGCGAATGCGGACGCGGAATATCTCGCGCAGTCTGCGAAAACGCGTCCTCCGCGCTTCCCGGTGTCTATTTTCGTTGAGGAACACGTAAGAGGAACAACGCTCGTGGGACGCGTTTAATGTACACCCGGGGAAAAAGGACCCCACCGCTCTTTCGACGTCCGCGGAAATGAAAGCGTAAGAGATTACGCGAATTCGGCGGAGCGGGGTCGAGGATTCCTTTTATCGCGACACATAAACATACCCTCGTTTGCAATTTTCGACCCGGTCCCCCTAACTACATGGCCTTTCCAACCGGCACACCCGCGCACTTGACCCAGTGATAACCCTGCGGAATCGGGGCCGAAATCCCGCCAAGATAAGGCCGCGCTGCTAGTTACCGATAACGCGTTATCCCTGCCCTTTTTCACGGAGCTCGGGCTTCGCTCGAAAGTCGCGGACAATATTGCGCGTGATAAGAACGTACGCGCGCGTACGTATTCCGCACTGTTATTATTTGCAAACGAAAGAACCGTGTCGCGAGTATCGCGAGTGTAGCGCGGAGGTTTGTTTTGTCCGGCGATGTTAGAGCACAATATTTGCGTTAAAAACAGGTAAACAGGAGACTTTTATTGCGAGACGTCGCGCGAAGGATATTCGTCTATTGATTTCAAGAGCCATTAATCTATATGGTTCGGGAAAATATCCGTCGTTGCGATAATAAAGCAAACATACACTGTCTCCTTGCTTATCTAACTCTGCCTTTTCGTGTGTCGTTTTCTCTGATACAGAAAAGTAATAATAACCGAGTCACGGTTCGAGAGTAAAAAAGATCAATTGGAGAAATATTTCGATTTCACTAATTTTTTCCCGTCTACGAGGCTAATGCGACTTTCGCGGCGTCTCGGCCGTTCATTTCTTCGAGTGTCTCGGAAAAAGGCGGCTCTGCGCCGCCGAACGGCTGGCTCGTTTACGCAGAAACAATTGGACGTCGGGGAATCTAGGGAAGGGTTAAGTAAAACAATGTGAAACGGGATCAAGAAAAGAGGAGCGTGATAATGCGAACTCGATAAATCCGGGACGTGTTCACGGTTAACAATTCGATCAACGGAAATTCGCTTCGCTCGTCGGCCGTTCATTCGTTAAAATGAGGAGCTGGTAAAAGCGAGATCGATCGGTCGTCACGTCACGAGATAATTTTCGAGAAAAAGACTATCGATCCCGACAGCGGATAACAACTTTGCGGATATAATGGCAATTTAATATCGGATGAAATTTCTGTAATTCGCGCGCGATAGCGCCGATAGCCAAATTGGGGAGCTGGGCAATCTGCAATTAATTCATGAGCGGAAAATGCGCGTTCTGATTGAAATCCCTGAAAATTACCACCGTCAAAATATTCATCCGAATCACATTTGTAAAAGCTTTTATTTTACCGGTTTGTAAAGTGAAAAAGCCGAAAGCCGCTGAAAAGATGCAATAACTCCCTTTATATTTCTTTCACCGTATGTGAATTATACCTCGTTTCTCGTGATGCAGGTATAAACAGATATCACCAGGTTATTATGTGCGCTTCTCTTGTGGGGAAAAAAAACTTCTCCAAGAAATTAATTTATATTTTTCTCTCATTAATGAATCCGGTTATCAATATAAGAATAAAAGGGGATTTTTCATCGAACAACGTGTAATATTAAAATAACTGTGAAATTACGTTTCTGCGATATCCGTTAAAAGAAATTCCCTCGCGCATTTTGCGCTAAATTTTCCAATCGCGTAACAATCAGAGAAATTACGCAATTAGGCATAAACGATCGTGGAACAACTCTCGTTCCGAGGTCTTTCGTCCGCGTATTAAGCGGAAAATAAGTAACATCGCGCGCGCGGGGCCCATCCACGGCTTTCATTGTACCACGACAGAGCGTAATGTTGCGTAAGTAGATCGTAAAACTAACATGAAAATGCAAATCGCCGCGCGCGGCATTGCGAAAATCCCGGAGTGGCGATTGCGCGCGTCTTTATTGCAATTTATTGCTCGTAATTTTGATTGCGAGGTGCTAGATACGCCAATACAGCGGTTCCTAATGAGAACCGCTTGCGCTTTTTATTGGCTAATAAGTTTCGTGTTTTACGCGCCACTTTTTCTTCGCCTCTGTCACGTAATAACGTATTTTCTCCGCCGATCACGCGAAAGACGCATCGTGATACTCGAAGAACCGCCTTATCGCGATCGCGTTATTCGCAATTTAATTGTCACCCCTGTTTTTTTTACAAACTCGATCGTCTTTGATCTGCAGATTTTAAACCGTACACTTAATCGCGCTATAGAATTTCAAGATAATAATCCGCGCGTATCGCATGGACAGTAAATTTTATGTTATGATCACCGCATTACACGAGCGTTATTTTATTACAAAAGAGAGTATTTAATCGGTCCAAATTATGTCGTGTACATACCGGAGGTTTTCGATGTTTTTTATTTATATCACACGGTCGAACGTGCGCGAGCACGTTAATTCCCAATTGTCGCGTTAGCGCAAATTAGACGAGCCGAAATGTTGCATTTAATCTACAATTCTGACGTAAGATCGATTGAGAATACGCCGTACGGCCGTTACACGCAACCTCGCGGCATAATTACAAGCAATCGCACGCATATATTCCGCAAGCGTAGCATTATTCCCAACATTTCAACGTTATAATTTCGCTGCGAGACGTCTCGATTGTAGTTTCCCGAACGTTATGATTTTGCGTTCGCGGAGGACACACCTTTGCTCGATGCAAGTCTTCCTGCAGCTCCGACGTATTTTTAAGATATCGCGGTAATGTAAAATTACGAGTCGCGCTCGCTACATAAAAGAGCTCGTGGAGAAAGAACGAGGGTGCAGGAAGGAGCGCGCGGAAAGCGAAGGGCAGGACTGGAAGGGGGGGGGTGGACAGGGGCGGCAGAGTAGGCGAATATGAAAAACTCACCTGTCCGAGGGTGGAGGCGGTCGAGCCCGGCTGCTGGGGTTGATGCGCTGTCGCCGATATCGGCGTGAGGGGCGTGTGCGGCGTGTGCGGTGTGTGCGGCGTGTGTGGTGTCAGCGGCGTGTGATACTGCTGACTGCTGTCACCGCCGGTGCTCCTCATCTCGAGGTCCGGACTCGTCTCGTAACCGTCGTCCCTCGCCTCCTGCTTCACCATCACCCCTGCACACAGAGACAAGAACAGGGCGACGCCCTTTAGATTTTCGGCGCTCGTCCCGGCCACACGCGGGCCTCCTCGCGGGCGTCGCGGAGCGAGAAATTCTTTTTCACGCGACGACGCGCCACGTCGTTGCGGCGATTAACCCTTTATGGCCGCGCGCGATAATAACTCCCCCGTCAGCGGGTTCGCCCTGCGAGGGGTTGAGAGAGAGAGAGAGAGAAAAATTACGAGATGAAGTCGGAGCGGACCTCCAGAGTGAACCACTTGCCAATGTTCGGGAAGAATACTAATTAAATCTTGTATTACTCGTATTAATGTTGTGTTCGCGTCGCGGAACAAGACTTCTTTCGCCTAATTTCAGTTCCTCGGCGCAACGCAGACGTCAGACCCCCGTGACGGCTCGTTAATCATTCCCCGAGTATTTCTTCTATTTTCCCGCCGCGTATGTACACGTTAACTAGCTCGAATTATCGCGCTATTAATTCGCACAGGAACTCCTGTCACTCATCCCGCCGTCTCGCTGTATTCTCTCGTCGTGAAATACTTCCTCCGCGTAACCGAGAGAGCGAATGAGTGACTCATCGAGTGCCGTCTAACTCTAATCTCGGTAGCTACAGGTAAACAGGCACCAGTTGAATTTTCTGCACAGGCTGGATACATACAGCTGCCGGGCGGTTTGCCCGGAATCAAAGTGCGCTTCGAACTTTCGATATTTGTTCGCCAACTTTTTCAAACGATCGAATTTATCTTTTCTACGGCTTTGAAATCGGGCAAGGGGGAGGGTAGGGGAGGAAGCTAAGTTGTAACTTTCTCTTCCTTGGCTTCCCATCGAGACGAAATTTACCGCTACGTGTATCGCAAATGGGAAATAATTCTTGACAAGATTGTGCAAAGTAACCTTTCGTACTTAGCAAATAAAGCTCCGAGAGGCATTCGAAACGATTTTTATCGGCTGACAAAAGTTTCACCTTCAATTCGATTTAATTGCGTGTTAACGAGTGGTCTTGTCTATTATTTTTGGTATCGCAACCGTGAAAACAGTTATCCGATATAAAAATGAATCTTGTTTTAGCACGTCGAATACGAGGCAGCTGACAATAAAGAGTGAAACGTCATTAAAGACATTGTCAATCAACTTGATAACGCAGCGCGGTGTAATAAAGCTCAAAGTAATGCCGATAATTTGATGGGGAATAAATAAACGAGGCATTTTAAGTGATTTAAGAGATTATTGTATAATCCTTGGGCCGAACCGCAACCTTTCGCTCGGTTTAGTATCACCCCGAACAAGTTTTATTGCCGGCGGTATCGTCGATGGTAATTTAATAGCTGAGGAGTACCGAGAGAAACGAGTTAATCGCTCGTCAGAAGATTTACCGGTTAGCCGTTGAAAGCCCCCGGTAACGGCAAATACATTAAAACCCTGCCCACTCGCGCCCATCCGCTCGCTGTCCGACGACGCGTAGAATTGTTCAATTGACCCAGAGAAAAATATTCCGCGGATTGATGACTGACAGCCCGGTGAGACGGCGTGTTTGTAATTGGCCTCGGATTTTGCCCCGCGCGTATATTTCGGCACGATTGTCGTGCGCCCGCCACACGCATCGGCGATAACGTGCGCCGCCCTACGTCGACCTGTCCGGCTCGGTCTCGCTCTCGGAAAATATTTTTTTACAATTTCGCGCCAATTGCCGGCGCGATATCGACCCGCCGCGGCTTCGCGACCTAACGCGAACGTCGCCTGCTTTATCATCTTTCGCGCTGGTGCATTCGATCCTTACTCGCGCGAAACGACCCTCCTTTACCCTTTTGACAAAACAAAGCTCCAATTTCTGGGGCGCCGCGAGCCCCGCGTACATTGCACACACGGCACAAAAGTATACAGAAGGGGTGCGTGATACTTGCGAGAATCCCGTTATAATGAAAATTAATTTCGTAATAAGCTCGCGTGGAAATGAAGCTTTTTCATTGATTGCGCGTTCCGCGCAATTTCCGAACGCCCCGTGCGGCGCTCGCCGACCCTTTTTCGTCGTGAAATTCCATGCGAATCTGTTTAATGGCTCGCTCGCAATCGCGAATAAACGCGGGGACGAGCTTTTTGCAGAGCGGCGTGCATATACGTGCACGCACGTGCGTGCGTGTGGAGCCGCGGCGACCGCACGTTTCCCTCTTTCTCTCTCGCTCTCTCTCTCTCTCTCCACGTGGCGCTTCCGTCACACAGTAGCGAAAAATATAAAATTAATATTGTATCTGATCCGCGCGTGGATACCTTCCTCTCTCTCTCTCTCTCTCTCTCTCCCTAGGTATATCCTTTTGCCGCGATAATCGCGCGATATTGAATTGTCATGAGGCGGATAATTTTTTTCCCCCCTTCTGCGCCGAGAGACTGCCCGGCCGCGCCGCAGCCCAGCTAAAATACCAGAGTCAATATTTTCAAATATCCGCCCGACGTTTGATATTTGCAAATTATACACGTACGAGGGCTGTGCGTGCGGCGCGAGCGAGAGAGCAGCGAGCCGCGCACGCGATCGGCTCGCGCGCGCCAGTTTATGAAAGAGAATTCAGCCAATAAATTTAATGCAACGCTAATTTAATCGGAAGAAAATTTCGCCGAGCAATTTTTTTTTCGGGACCCGCTAATTAATGAGCACCGGCATGCTCTGCTTTCTCTCTCTCTTTCCCTCTACACTTTTATCGCGAATCGCGGCGGCTTTATTGCCAGTGCGCGGTCGTTAGTAATTAAATGCAACGTACGCGCGAACGTTGCGCAACATATTGAATTAGCGGAGTTGTTTTCGAATCTTTTGCGGAGAGCGAGATCCGCGTCGATGTCACCGCGATCTCTGACGGGCGAGGTCTTTAGTTCCTTACCTTGAGAACTCCCGCAACTCATTGTCGTCGTGCCGTTTGGTCCTCCATTCTGCACCGGTGACGAATACCTGAAAACAGAAATTAAATCTGTGAGCACTCGCGCAACGTGACGCAGAGACGCTTGAGACACTTGTCTGGACAATGAACGCTTGTCATGTAAAATTGTATCAATTAAATATCACTTAAAGCTGTGAGACTATATCGAGTGTTTCGCGCATACTTAATGTGAAATATTTTTGCGTTTCAGAAGCGGATGTTCCGGAACACCAGTATGCCGCGCAGCAACAGGTAATGCTGTTCAAATGTCTATTTAACGATAAGCTATCTTTTAAGATTGAACGCTTTCGAACGTATACATTGTGCCGCGTAGTTAAAACCGAACCGTGAAACGTACGCGATAACGGGATTATCGTAATTTCCCCATGTGTAGTTATTTAATCAATCTTAAGCATGTGTACATATAATTTCGTAAATTTCACTTCTCATTAAAACGGCCAATCAATAATCTAGGAGCTAATTACGTATTATTTCGATATCCTTTTGTCAGCGTTTTTCCAACATAATTTAACATTTTATCGAATTTTCCTTTGATATTGAAAATATCGAATATTACATTTGACAAACCCATTACGAAAGCGGTACTTAATTTAATTAATTTTCAAATTAGCTGTAATGTTCTTTTAGTTAGCTCTTCCCTGTCACATTTAAAAGGGAAAGAGCCGGAAACGGTTTTTCTCTAATTAAAATTTCCGTAATGTGATTGTCCTTTATCAAGATAGTTTCTTGTGCATGTTTTCATTTATGTCGGTAGCAAAGAGGGAATTGTAAATCTCTTCTGCTTTAATTTAACGTTCACGCTCGCGCCGCGATTTCGGATTGTATGTCGCACTTTACTTTTTATATATTAATTTTTTCGCGCGGTTATCACGCAAATATCCCGCCGCCGTACTTGCTAAAGTTCGTACACAGACAAGACAAGTGGATGAAGACTCCACAAGTTTTATAAGTTTTAGTTCATGTGACGTAACATGGCGCCTCAACTTTATCCCGAGTTTTTCCTTTCATTTCATTAAAACTTGGCGCGGGAGAGAAGCGTCGTGCAAGTTGGTTAAAAAGCGCTGCCGCGGCGGACGGTTATCGAAGAGTAATTATTGTTGTGTGCGTTAAAAAATCCGCAGGAAACACGATAAGATGTGTAAGGTAATACCATTTAATTTACGTTCAACTGCACGACGTATCGATCTCGATTACGTCACGCGCGAGGTAATAAAGATACGTATTAACAATTTAAATACAATGCTGATACAATGATAACGCACGTCGTTGCGCGACTTCATTTAACAGTCGCATCGATAGCATCGTGCTTCATTTTATTAAAATACCTCGAATTCTTTTTTTAAAAGGGCAGAAGAACATATAAATTCTAGGGAAATTCATGCGCTCCTCGCTGATAATCCCCGAGTGCAGATGGGCAATTTGCATTTATCATGGGCGCGACGGCGATTTTTCAAAATTTATCTTTCCGATGTACATGCAGACCACTCAATTAGGGATTATTCGAGGGAGAGGGGGGTGGAAAAAAAAGGAATGTCGATTTATAACAGGCGCAAGGGGGAGCCCTGCTCCATCTCGCGATGGCCAACGTGCGCGCCATTTAATTGATTGTGCTCGGGCCGCGGACGCGCGAGCGGCAATTATGATCGCGTCCACTCCGGACGCCGCCGTCCCTCTGTCTGTCGACTAATTATGAGGCACGATACGCGCTCGTGGCACGCGCATCGAAATCGTTTTGCGCGGATTACAGATATTATCGGGCGGCCGCAATATTAGAGGCCGCGCGGGACAGGCGTCGTCGGGCGACACTTAATTATCGCGCGTAGCCGAGCGAGCACGTCGTTACGACGCTGCGGAGCATCGATATACCTCGGATCGCCAGGCCATCGCGCTCGTCGGGGAGCACGGTTGAACTTTAACTGGTATTAACCTTTTCGCCGTGCGGCACCGTTGAGCTTTGTCTCTTTAAAAACGCGCGAGGCAAGCATGTGCACCGCGATCACGGCGCATTGGCCACGTTTATTATTCCCGTGTAGATTAGCGACGCCTTGATTGATCGTTTCTTAGAGCTTTCTTTATCGCCCAAGAGTGTGTCACCTATGCTATAAGCGCGTACGCGTATTTTTATATGCGACGAGAGGGTTAACAAGCAAACGTTACCTTACGTCCCGGTATAAGTTGCGCGAGCATTTTTTCTTTTTACGTTTGATACGCGAGCTGTTAGTTAAGACAGTTTTTACCGTCAGTCTTGCACTCACTCGCTGCTTTCCAAGTAGGCGAGGGGTAAACCGCTGAGGGCATTGTGGTGTATAGATTTGCGGCATTACTGGGCATTACTATCGCGGAGAGAAAAATGTAGCTACCGTAGCTAAAAACTCTATGTGGCAACTAATGCTTCAGTTGTAAAATATGGACAACTAATATTTCGTTGCGATAGCTAAATATTTTGCTAGCGTGCCTATTGTATTAGATACGACAGCAAACCGTTTGCTGTGGTTTAGAAATTTTAAGTTACGGCGGCATAACTATTTTTAGCAAATCATGATGATTAGCTACGGTAGCGAACTCTTTTTTTTTTCAGGGTAGGCCTTTTGGGCATTAGGCCTTTCTGGGACATTACAAAGACAAAATAAGATAAAATAAAAGAAGAAAAGTAAGATAAAATTAAGTAATGCCCATCGTGCATTAGCGGGCATTGGTATACACGATTTTGATCGGCGGTTCACCCATCGCGGGTAGGAAACGGAAAGATTTGCTACAGTAGTGAACTTCGTTTTTCAGTGTAGGCATTTTTTGGGCATGGGCCCTGCTGGGACATTATAAAGACAAAATAAGATAATAAAATCAGTGGGCATTGGTGTACACGATTTCGGTCGACGGTTTACCAATCGCGGGTAGGAAACGGAAAGATTAGCTACGGTAGCGAACTTTGTTTGTCAGTGTAGGCATTTTTTGGGCATTAGACCCTGCTGGGGCATTATAAAGACAAAATAAGATAATAAAATTAAGTAATGCCCGCTGGGCATCAGTGGTGTACGCGATTTTGGTCGGCGGTTTAGCCCTCGCGAGTAGGAGACGAAAAGATGTAACGGCTGCTTAATAACGACAGTTACGTCGACATTTGATAGAAGATCCAGTGACAAAAAAGAAATCGGTATGCTACAGCGAGGCTGGGGGATGCCATTGAGATTATAAATAGCAAAGATTACGGAGACGGCGTTGCGCACATGCACGCGGAGGTATAATTATATCCTGAAAGTAACTAATCACTTCTCGTTTTCCGTATTGCAAAAGAGGATGTGCCTCGTTGAGATCTATGCGGTGTCCCAGATAAAACCAACAAATTTCCTTGCAACTTTAATTCTCATTGCAACACAGGGCGATATAAGAACTGCGACGCGAACGGAGTTTCTCACGCGGTTCCAAATTCACGCGGCGGTCGTATAGACCGGAAAGAAAGAATCGACGCGGCTCGAAAGCAGAGGTAAAATCGTGGAAAATCTAGGGCGGAGGTACGTAGGGAAAGACCGCGTCTTTTATCGCTCTCGATATGTCGCGTCTCGAGCTCGTGCGGATGCAAACTCCATTCCGTGCGGCTGCGGAATCGGGCAATTACGGTCTTTGACGTTATTGAGCTCCGCACGTATAGAATCGATGTGCAGCGATGTCAGGATTATCTAATGAGGTGAGATTATCCTCATGGGAAGTCACAATTAGCGGCTTAATTCGTCTCTCGAATACAATCAGGCGCGATCAGACTTCGTCTCGGCGAGGAGACACGTGGAGCTTCGTTCGAATGTCGCGTTCATTCTGTCGCGAAAAAGAAGCTCGGAAAAGACCTTTCCGTGTTCTCTCTCAGGCTCCTGCCGCCTGTTTACGCACTCACGCATCTCACGGTGTCGCGTATTAACGCTCTGAAACGACGCGAAAATAAATCCTAAATTTTTTCTCTTGTCTTTCGATTGAAAGAAGAACGTTCGTTTTACGATATAACGAGGTGACACGAAATCTCGACGTATCTTCGTGCTTAACGTTGAGTTGCGCAAATGTATTGTCAAAGTAATAGCGAATTTACTCAATCACGCGTATAATATATATCATAATAAAACGGTAAATCATTGCCATTACACCCTCGCGCTATTTGAGACCGTAGTAGGCGGGAAGAGGAGGGGGAGGGGGAGAGGGGGGGGGGGACGGTACCCCCGGTTATAGCGGTAATACGTTCGCAGTCATCGGGGGTTGGTTTACTCATGGATGGATTCTAAAAGCTCTGTCACCCGACACTGGGGAAAGTCATTCGATGAACCATTGACGTCGGTCGGCCGGGTGTAGGCTACAACGGGTAGTGCCTTCTCTCGACAGCGCAGATTGTTGTTGTTGTCGTTTTCGGGTACATGCGATACGTGTAATACACCCGCGCGGATTCAACGGCGGCGAAAATATTTTGCACGAGACTAAACGTAAATATCGCGGCACGCGCGACGATATTTAATATCTCGGCTCTCTTTTCCATTATTTCCGTCTATATATTAAAATCCGGATGCGCATTTTCGAAATCGCGGGCGAAAACAGGGACGCGCCGCCGGCCGTGTGTGTATTGTACGCGAGCCATTTTAATTTTATACCTGCGCATTCAATATCATTTTAGCGCCGCGAGCCGCCAAACCGGAGCTAATAGGCGAAAAAATGTTTTTGTTGTCGAGGCATTAATATGGGAGAGCGTGGCGTTTTATCGCGGCGATATCAGTTTTAAACGCTATCACTCGAGAATATTTATCCTTTTGGATATTTTTACCTCGCGTCTCTCCAACGACACGGGACAAACGGATGGGACGAGGAGGGGTTCATTCGCGCAATCTATGTCTTTTAAATGCGATTGTACATGCGGAATTTGCTCAAATTTCTGTGAAAACGGCGGTAACGCCAAACAGAATCTCGAGTCGGGCATTCCATGTATTAAAACTTCAATTAATGCGCATCCGTTACGTTTTGTTGTCTATCGTTTCAATTATCTCATGTATAAATGCATGTGTGCACTAAAGATGCCGAGAAGACTTTTTATTTATTGGCGCGCGACTTTCCGCAGTTTTGATCTTCGACAAGCGTAAAAGCGGGATCATTTTTTCGCAAATGCGAATATCTATTTATTTATTTATTATCCCCTGTCTGTGGCAAAAATTTATTACGTGATATTAAAATCTTTTTTCATTACCAGCACTGCTTGTAAACAAATA